AGGTGTCCTTCCCAGAATCCAGTCTGTGTGGGTTATTCTAGAACTTGGTTGACTCGTTGGAGGGCGGACAGGTTTTACTCAGGTTAGGTTGGTTCTCTGAGGCTCAAACGATCCTTCCAGGGGGAGAAGGCCAAAACATCCAGTTTGCAGGATGACTTCCTGCCGAGAGGCAAAGACAAAAAACAACAAGGTTAGAGCTCAGAGAGAAAAGACTCGGATAGACTCAGCTTGGCTAGAGTACCCAACACTGGCAAACACTCNCAACTGATCTGAACCCCATGGAGAACCTGTGGTCCTTCATGAAAGGTGAGATCTACAGGGAGGGAAAACAGGGAGGCTGCTGCACGCCATGAGGATCGCACACAGATCAAGACTCTGACAGAATCTATGGATGGAAGGATTTAGAGCGTCATGGTGGAGAAAGGAGGATATAATGGTCACTGATTTGAGTTTTTTTGTTTTGTTTTTGAATGTCGCAAATGTTTATTTCTGAATTTTGAGTTGTTATATTGGTTCGCCTGGTGAAAATAAACAAGTGAGATGCGTATATATTTGATTTTTATTACTTTGCCTAATAATTCTGCACAGTAATAATTACCTGCTCACACAGACATCCTCATTAAATGGCAAAATCTAAAAAAAACACACATCAACTTCCAAAAATATTAAAGATTGATATTAAGGATTCTTTTTGTCATCTTCTTTTTAAGGGATCTGACCCACATGCAGGAAACGACTCAGAGAACCAGAGAAAAGGTTTAACAGGTTTATTAAGAGCACGATGCGTGGATCCAGAGTTACTCAGAAAGCTGGTGAACTGGAACTGGAAGTGAGAAGGGAAGTTCAGAGTTTAGTTCAGGTTCTGTAGGAAACTTAGACGACTTGCAAAAACAAAGACTGAAACGTTTCCAGATAAAGGTGTCCTTCCCAGAATCCAGTCTGTGTGGGTTATTCTAGAACTTGGTTGACTCGTTGGAGGGTGGACAGGGTTCACTCAGGTTAGGTTGGTTCTCTGAGGAGCAATGGACCTGACTGCCACTTAGATTTCCAGGAGAATTTGAACGGTACGTGTGGAGATTTATCCCCTGCTCTTTGTGAAGCTCAAACGATCCTTCCAGGGGGAGAAGGCCAAAACATCCAGTTTGCAGGATGACTTTCTGCCGAGAGGCAAAGACAAAAAACAAGGTTAGAGCTCAAAGAGAAAAAAGACTCAACTAAACTCAGCTTGGCTAGAGTACCCAACACTGGCAAACACTCCGGCGACGAGGTAGTGGCAGTCAGCAGCTTAAGAGTCCTCAGATAATGAGCCAACCATCCGCAGGTGTGTTGAAGGGCCAATGAGAACCGGGCGCCACCTGGTGGTGGAGGGAGAAAACACCAACAACACACAACCCACACAAACTGGATTCCTAACACTTTTGGGTTGATTGAGAACACATGCGGCCCGATAATAAAAATAATCCTCAAAAATACAATTCTGCACACAGTGTAATGTATTGTAAGGCACATTCTGACTTTCACAAGTTCTGTGCTAAAGTTCTTGATATTGACAAAATAATTGGACCCGTTGTGAAGATTATAAACTGCTTTGGAGCTAAGGCAAAGCAGCACCAGAGCTTCCGGTTCATCCCAGAAGAGCGATCTGCACACCATGAGGATCTTCTTCATATCGACGTGAAATGGTTAAGGCGTGGTAAGGTACTGCAGCGCTTTCTTTCTTTGCTGGGTGAAATTAAGACTTTTATGGAGAGTAGAGAAGAAGATACAACAATTAACGGATGCAGAGTGGATTCTTGATCTCGTCTTTCTCACAAATGTGATGAATAAAATCAGACAACTAAACAGTTACAAGACAAGGACAA